GGGATTTGAACTTGGGTCTTCATGTTATATACAGCAAGTGCTCTTACACACTGAGCCATTTTCCTGACCCTGTCTTCAGAACAGGAGGATTTTGATATGTAGCCCAGACTAGTGTTTAACTAGCAATCCTGTCTCAGCCTCCCAGTGCTGGGATTACAGTCATTTGTGACCATGTCTTGCTTCCTTGTATTCTTTAGTGAAAGATTCAGGGCTCCCTTGAAGGCAACTGACTATAAATCTTTGAGTATAAAGAAATATGATGAGTGGACACTTTTTAGTTTTAATATTTTGTAAATTCTATTATTTATATGTATGGGTGTCTTGTCCACATGTGTACAGTACCTGAGGAGTCCAGAAGAGGGTGTTGGATTTCATGGAACTGGAGTTACAGACAGTTGTGAGCCTTCATGTGGGTGTTGGAAATTGAATCTGGGTCCTCTGGAAGAGCAGCCAGTGTCCTTAACTGCTAAATCATCTCTTGGAATTCCAGTTTTAGTTTTTTGAATGTTACTGAAAATGTAAGATTTTCCAGTGCAATTTTGAAAACAAAAATAGGGCCAGAGTTTGTCGTTACTTTAGGAACCCTGTAAACAGGGCAAGCTGAATGTGGAAAGAATGATCCCAGCCAATCAGAATGTACCGTGTCTGTTGAAATCACTGAACATGACTGTGCTAAAGAGAGGGTCTACAGGACCCTTCCAGGATTTCAGGCACTGCCCTGTGCACCAGTTACTTTGAGCATAAGAAACCCATATGTCTGGTGGTTACATTTGTTTAGGGTGTTTTCTCATTTGATATCAGAAAGTTGTATAATGAAGGAGATTGATTTTCTGAGTACATATTTAATAATAAAAATGAGAAATACTAGTTTTATATTGAAATGGTTGTAGTATTGATTATGAGAGAAAAAAGGTTAGGAAGCAAATGAAGGAAGGCACCATAGAAACCATCTTCTGGGGACTGGAGAGATGACTCCACTTGCCCCTCATTCAAGGACTGAGATTCAATGCCCAACATTCACATTGGCAGCTCACCATGGCTTGTAACTCGAGTTCTAGTGGATCTAGTGCCCTCTCTTGGCCTCTTTGGGTATTGCACACGTGGTGCACATACGTATAAACAGGCACACACGTAAAAGAAAATAAATCTTAAAGCATGTTTTAATAGAAAAATTATAAGATTTACCTGCGAGTAAAGCTTTAACTAGTCTGACATTTGTATACTCAGTTAAGAGGATCATGAATTTTAAATTTTTCTAGTGAGTGTAGCTGCCTTTGTCCACTTATTCCCAGACTGATATCTTCTGAGCTTTTTCTTGCTTAGCAGACTCCCAAGAAATTAATGCCATTTCCATTGCTATTATGATGGATAGCTACAGTTCAGGATATTTTCTCAACTGACATTCGTGTTACATGAGTTGGAAAACCGGGGTTCTCATTTAGTTTTTTGTTGTCGGTGTTGAAATCCTCTTCTCCCTCTGTGAGTGTGGCAAATGCTTCAGGCAGAGAATCATCAGCTCTTTAAGCCACCCGGGTAGCCTTGGGGAAATGTGGAAGCTGGGATTGGGAATTTAGCTTTCCAACATCCAGAGCTCTCAAAACAGGACAGAGGGGTCAGTGTTCCCACGAGTGGTATGCGCCTTGAGTCGGGAGGCAGAGGCAGGCAGATCTCTGTGAGTGTGTAGTCAGCCTGTTCTACACAGAGAGTTTCTGGGTAGCCAGAGATATATAGTAAAACCTTGCCACAATAGATAAATAAATAAATAACAAGAAAAGAATGGAAGAAGCTGTATCCAAGTGCAATGGTGTTTATTTCCACAGGGACCATCTGTCACCCATGGAGATGGATCTTGTCCCTCTCCTGACACAGGAATGCGATAGAGTCAAAGTTGAAAAATATTTTGCGGCGCGAAGTAGCTTCGGTTTAGTTGTCAACATAAACTCTCACCTCAGTAGTAAATTGGAACTGGCTGTGAATGATTACACATAAAAGTTGGTTGTTGTTGGGGCAGCGTGCCCTGCAACAAAGCCAAGGAAGGGCAGGCATTGCTCAGTGTGAGCGTGCTCTAGCAAGGGGTTTTTGTGGTCGGGCTCCTGAATGCCTTCACGGGCTTTGTTAAGTTTATTGCTTTTCTGGTGTTTATAGGAGAAAAATCACTTCAACAAGATAAGCTCCAGGCAGGACAATGACAAGCTCCTGAGCGTCTGTACTTTTATTTCCTTTCTTCCTCTCTGAACCCATTGGATTTGTTCATCAGAGTAAATAAAATATTATCGCTCTCCTCCCTCTGTCCACACAATCTCTCGTTTAAATCAACTTCATTCGTATCTTTGTTTCAAAAATGGGATGTAATTTTTTGGACATCTATCAAACTTTTAATGAAATACGGAGTAGCGTTTTGGTTCTCAGTTTCATGTTACAAAGAGCGTGGGAACTGAATTCGTACCGGTAATTTTGTCTACCTCTCAAACTTCGGCTGCATTCTTATTTTATTTTTCACCAACCGATGCCCACCCATTTTTGGAACAAAAAGGATATTTCAGAATGTAATGCAGACTCAGAACTACAAAGGAAAACAGCATGTGTGTTTACAGGTGAAGGCGTCCCGCAGAGCTGTTAGGACGGGTAAGAAGTCTGCTCACCACCTGCAGGCACAGTGAGAAAGAAAACAAAGAGAATATTGTAAAGCAAAGGGGAAAAGCAACCTGTAAGACTTCGGGCAAATTAGGGTAATTGCCCAGCCTCAGTTTCCTCACGTGTCAAACTGGAATGATAGAAGCAAGTTCTTAGAGTTGTCTTAGGAAGACTCAATACAAACACAGTTATCGGCAATGCTCAGAACCGTGCATGGAGAGAGGCAAACATTACTTACATATTTTCGAAATAACAAAACAAGTGCTAAGGCAATTCCGAAAGACCCACAACTTTAACCAGAACCTAAGTTTTAAAAGAAAGCCATCCCTCATCAGCTAAGTTTCTTTTTGTAGTAGAAGGTGTTTGGCGGCGCAGAGACTCATAACTGGGTAAGGTGTAGTGGGCTCAGCCTCAAATGGGACATCCATATCACAATCCTCTTCCCAAGCTCAGAGCTCATGGTGCAAGAGGGGGTGGAAATACTGTTAAGACCCAGAGGCGGCAGGTGATAAGGGAAGAGTGTGTTCTGGACGCAGCAGGGCAGTTACATGCATGAATTCACGGCGTTTGTGGCAACATGAGTGAGATCTGCGAGTTCAAGCCAGACAAACTGCAACCTGGAGAAGGGAGGTGGTGTGAAGTCCCGCCCCCAGCTGAGGAGCTTCTGGGGAGGGAGAGCCTGTTTTATTGGAGAATGCAGCTGAGCTCCAGTGGAGGATCACACGCCCAAGAGCAGAAGAGCAGCACAGACTGTACATGGTGGGTTAACGGAGTAGTTCTCAACCTGTGGGTCTCCACTAGGACCCATGGTGGTCTGCACCCCACGCAAACTCGTTCCCATCCTGTATTCAGCAGGTGAAAATTTCTGCACTGTCGAGAATTTGCAACAAAACAAAACAATCCAACAAACAGGCAACAGTAGCAGCAGCGAGAACAATAACAACAAAACCATCACCCAAATTGTAGCAAGGAAGTCTTCTTAAAAGTAGTAACCATTTCTTCCGCAAGACTTCTCTGTCCACCCTTCCGAAACTGGCCCTCCTCCAGAGACAGAACCAGAGCTCCGCTTTTCAGTTGTGACTTTATCGGCTTTCATCTCCTCCCCCACTAGGCTAGCAGGGGAGCCGCCATTTCTCCAGTCCCAGGCTCTTCTGTGTGTTCACGGTTCAGGAAACTGATGCGCACTTCATACCTAATAGACACTGTCGATTTACCTAGAGCAGCCGTTCTCAACCTGTGGGTCTCGACCTTTTGGGGCTCACAGGGGTCACTCAAGACCATCAGAAAACACGGGTATTTGCATTACGATTCTTGACAGGAGCGAAATTACAGTTATGCAGTAGCAACGAAAATAATTTATGGTTAGGGGTCACCACGACATGAAGAACTGTATTAAAGGGTCACAGCATTAGGCAGATTGAGAACCAGTGGATTGAAGGATTAAAAAAGGCACAAATTTGGGAGGGTAGGGAGATGAGCATGTTTCTGGGAGGAGCTGGCGTGAATATGATCAAAATATGTTATATGTAATTCAAAATAACATATAAAAATGTTGAAAATGAGAAAACAACAACAACAACAACAACAACAACAATAATAATGATGATGCCCTAGTTCTCATTGGAGCACTGACTTACCTATAGGACAGTGAGAGGCAAAATGAAAACGTTCTCTGGTGACTTCTCTGTTACAAACACATTTGTGGGATTCTTACAATGTCTCCTTGACTTATCCCTCAATAAGCACAGAGGACAGAATGCTGAACTCGGGGGAAAGCAATTTTGCAGTAGGCCAAGGTAATATGTTCCGAACTTGCAATGTTCTGATGATCGGGGCTTTAGCTCTAGATTATAAAGAAATAGATGGGCTCATTCCCTTCAAATAACCCTTCATAAATATCAGTTCTCTTATCTGGGCATTTTAGAAGCTCTGTAGGTGAAGCATGAAGTTTTAGTTTCTGCAAGGCCTTTGTATGAAGAGACAGCATCCCGCTGACATAGCTGGGCAAAGCACCGGCATTTGTTGGGTGACAGAGGACGCTCCTGCTCTCACATCCCGGTCTCACAATGGACGGTCGGTGAGTTGCTCACTCGGGGAGCATCTTCCGTCTCATAACAGTGTTTTCGGGAATGAAGGAGACTATGCATGCTGGCGCAGACACAGGCGTGGTTGTATAATCAGAGTGACAGGGAGTGGGATCCTGCCTTTGGTTGGCGTGGTGACTGTAGAGAGCCTCAGTTACTTCATCTGCAAATGGGGATGGCTACGGCGCCTTTCTTTTTCTTTCTCAGTATAAGATTTTGAATTTATTCTTTGAGGATTGCATACAATGTATTTTGATCAATATTTACCCCTCCAACTCTTTTCAGACCTCCCGACCCCACTGTGGTGCCTCTCTTAGAAAATGTTCCCAAGAACCAAATGCAAGCTCAGGGATCAATATTTAGTAAGTTTCTTTTTCTTTTAGCATCTATTCTTGTTATTACGTGCATGCGCTCATGTGTGTGTGTGTGTGTGTGTGTGTATGTGTGTGCGTGTGTGTGTGTACCTGTGTGTATCTTTCCATGGGTCCTGGCGGTGGAGCTCAAGTTACCAGGCCTGCATGGCCAGCACCTTTACCTGCTGGGCCACAACACCAGCCTTACTGAGGGATCACCAGAAATCCCCTTAGTGTGCCATCAAATGCGGTACACAATGTTTCAGTTCAGCTTGAGCTTGGAAAGGGATTGCACCATTGTGGGAAGAGGTGCTATGGTTAGACTGTGAAATGTGCGCTGTGGGCTCGGGGTTTGAACGCCGAGTGCCCGGCTAGTGGTGCTGATTTGGAGATTGTGGGAACTTTAGAAAGTGCGGTGATGCTGGAGCGGGTGTGTCACTGGGAGGCTGCCAGTTTTCTAACTCAGTCCTCGCTGTGCTTCGTGCCTGTGGATGCCACGTGATCAGCCCCTTCAGGCTCCCACCGCCATCCCTCTCTTGCCACAGTAGACGGTATTTTCTTGAGCTGTAGGCCAGAATAAATCCTTCCTCCCCTAAGGTTCTTCTTGATAATGTATTTGGTTGCAGAAATGAGAAAAGTAACTAAAATAGATTTTAGGAAAAAAAATTCCATGCTGTTTCTCAAACAATATTCGAGTTACTCACATAAACTTTTTTAATAGGAATGGTCCTTGTACATGGTGTGAGATCAGAAAATAAATATAAGTAAAAATATAAAATAAAAACATGACATTCTCATGGTATGGAGAATACAACAGTAATACCAGAATATACTCATTTACATTTTTCTACAAATGTATGTAACATTGTATCTTTAATGACACAAGATCATACTCTACATACCACTTTACATGATACATATTCTCCACTTGACTATCTATGGTATTTACAGATCAATATGTTTTTATCGCCTACCCGAACCCAGTGGAGATTTCCCAAATGTCCTAATTATATTTTTTACAGCTGGCTTGTACAAATCAATGTCAGTACAGCACCACGAAGGGGCCTGCACTCGGGTAATTTTGTTGGTGTTTTGATAGACTCAGTTTTGGCCTAATTCAGGTACAGAAAATTCGAAGATCTTAAGCGTACAGTTGAGTGAGTTTGGACACTTATATAGCCCTAGAAAACCAACATGCAAATAATGAGAAAGAAAATGTAATCTCGACAGTTTCCGGGTGCCCCCCTTTAATCTGTACCACCCCAGAGGCAGCTACTTTTACTCTGTTGCTGTAAATTAGTTCTGACTGATCTTAAACTGCATAAATGGATCGATTTAGCTTTTACTTCTGTTAGTCCGGCCTCTTATATTAAACACAGTGTTTAAAAACATAATATGTGTGTATAAACATTCCTTTTTTTAAAGATCGATACATTTAAATACATTGTATTAATGCAGTAAGGTTTGTTTTTCCACTCACTTAATTAAGATTTTTTATCTATCTATCTATCTATCTATCTATCTATCTATCTATCTATCTATCTATCTATTTTTGTGTGTACATGTGTGGTGGTTGGATTAAGATGCCCCCTGTAGGCTCATATATTTGAATGATTAATCCCTAGAAAGTGGCACTGTTTGGGAAGGTTTAAGAGGAGTGGATCTCCTGGAGTAGGTGTGGCTGGAGGAAGTGTGTCACTGTGGATGGGCTTGGAGGTTTCAAAAGCCTGTGCCAGGCTCTGTGGCTTGTTCTCTGTCTGCTGATCCGGTTGTAGCTCTCCTGCTCCAGCACCGTGTGCGCTCATAATGGACTAACCCTCTGAAACTGTAAGCAAGCCCCCAATTAAATGCTTTCTTTTCTAAGAGCTGCCTTGGTCATGGTGTCCCTGCACAGCAGTAGAACAATGACTAAGGCAGCATGCGTGTGCCCATGTGTAAGAGTCTGATGACAGCGGCATGGGTCAGTCTCTCCAGCCATCATGTGTGTTCTGGAGACTGAACTCAGGTAGTCAGGTGTGCAGAGCAAGCACTTTATCCACAGAGTCATTCTGGCGACCTTGTTCACTCGTTCTCCTGCTGGGGTGGAGTCAATCACGGCCTCTAAATTCGTTGACCTCGTGCTCATTGGAAATGATGTCTGTGTCTCCATTCTTGAGTTCAAATTCAGATTCTTCTCAGCAGCAGAAGCTGGAAGCTTCTACTTCTTGTCCCACAGAACACTTGTTTTAGAACAGCCAGGAGGTTGTGAGGTAGCTCACGCTACACCAGGGCAAGACCCTAGTGAAAAGGAAAAATGGCCTTCTGCAATATTTGATTAATTAAACAAATTATTTAAATGAAGTTTTAAATAAAAATTAATATTACATATATATATATATATATATATATATATAATTTGTATATGGGTGTACACATGCCTTGGTGTGTGTGTGTGGACGTCAGAGAACAACTTGAAGGAGTCAGTTCTCTCATTGTACTGTGTGGGTATTGGTGACTGAACTCCGGTCGTTGGGCAAGGTGGCAAGCACTTTTATCTGCTAAGCCCTTTCGCCAGTCTTTAAATTTCTCCAGATACCCACTCTCTCCTTGTCCATTCAACCCATGTTTTTCTCTAAAAATGTTCATGGGTTTATAGTAGCTATTTTGAAAATGTTGCCAACAAATTTCAATATACATATCAAAAGCAGGACTACCTGTGGGCTGCAGATCAACATTCTTGCTTCTGTATGCACCTTACACATTTATTGTGTGCCACACACGGAGTTTCAAAGAGCAACGGAGAACAGAATGTGCTGCGTTTCTTCTTACCATTTTCCTCAGCAACCGGGAGAACGCTCTTCAGGCAGATGGCCAGTGGGGGTGGGGACGGCACGTGGTACATTCTTTTTGATTCTTTGTCAGGTGGGTTCAGGGCTGGACTGTAGCTCTGCTTCCTCGGATGCTGTACGTCCGACTTGATTTAGGAGCCCTCTGTCAGTCCTGCGGCCTAACTCTCAGTTTGCCTCACGGCTGCTGCTGTGACCGAAGGACAAGTCAACCTTCTCTCAGGATTTGGGCTCTGAGCGATTTGATTTGTAGCACAGTTGTTAGGACTCGGTTATAAATTCAGCTCTAGCAGAACCCTGAGATCTGACCTGACGAAATGGCTGAAACCGTCTCTGCCTTCCAGCACTGTGTCCATCTGTATTTCAGGGGAAAATAAAAATCCTGAAGTGGCAATACACTGGCTGAGATAACTGTAATTTTCACGTTATTTCATAGCATTTTATTTATATTGTGTGTGTGCATGTGTGTGTGTGTGCATGCGTGCGTGCATGCGTCTGTGCTTGCTTATGGGCATGTGCATGCCACAATGCACTTGTGGAGGTCAGAGAACAACCTGTGGGCGTTGGTTCCCTCTTTCTGCTGTGTGGGTCTTGAGGTTTGAACTTAGATCATTAGGTTTAGAGGTGGGTGCCTTTACCTGCTGAGGCATCTCACCAGCCTAGATTCTGCTTTCTTTTGTTGGTCTCTGCTGTTGTCAAAACCTGACCAATCTCTCCTCACATTCCCCCTTCCACAGATGACAAGCATCCTCTTCTATCCCACTGCGGACAGCTTTGGCGTCTGCTCCAAGGTGTGAAAGTCTCTGTGGCTCCCTGCTCATCTGTGTCTGGAATTTAGCTCATTTAGGCTTCTTTGCAAACGTGGCTGTTGTATAGCTTTGTAGGAAAGTGGCTTGTTGTAATCGCTACAGTGAGAAGAAATGGCCTTTTGCATCATTCACCAGAAACAGAACCCCCTTAATAACTATTTATTTTCCAATTAGGAAGGTTGGCAGGGATCAGTTGGGTGATTTATTAGGTTTGGATTATAAAATTCCTTTAAATATTAAGCAGAGAGCAGAAGAACGTTGGATGTGCAGCCGGCATTTCTGAATCACCAAACCACCCCCTTACGGGTTTTATGAGAGTGATGGACAGTGAGCTCTCAATACGGTGTGCAAAGGACACAAGTCCGCTAAGTAAGTGGGTGAAGGGTTTACCTGTGTGGGGATGGCTCTACCCGGCTGCAGATTCTGCAGCATTATTCGTGTTGGAGGGGCAGTTGCTGTGTCCTTCAGTGCCTGGGATGGCACTTTTCCATCAGTGACAACCAGTGTCCGTGAGCCTGGGAGTGGAGAGGACATTTTCAGGGACATTCTTCGTGAAGCTCAGCCTGGCATTCTCATGCCCTCTGACTGCACACAGAGGCACCTGCCATTGTGTGTGTGATGTGTGCCCTGCAGCAGACAGCACATAACTCGAAGGGACCTTGCCGGTTGTCCTGGGTATGGCATGTCTATGTTGTAGTATTTTGGGTGCACTTTGATTCTAACACCTTTCTAAGAATGTACAACAAGGAGTAACAACTCAAAGATCGTGTCCATCAATACTGGGATTTGAAGTGGCCCGAAGGCCCTTTAAAGGCCTGTTTCAGCATGCATGTAAGACATTTAAACTCAGACCATAAATATGGATATTAAATACCTCATTGGATATCAATTATACCTTGAGTAAGCTATAAAACAAATTCAATGTCAAGTTTCTCGCTAATAAGCTGAGATTAATAATATGTAATCATTTTGAGATATAAGGGGGCTTCATAGGACTTTTGGATCTGAGCAGAGATCATAGATTGTATTAACCATCTGTAAACATTTTCTAAGAAAGCTTTTAGGTAGCTATACTAATAGATGGGCCTATTTCAGGTTCTTGAGTATTATTTATTTATTGTTTAAGTTAAATTTACTTAATAGCTGATTTATAAAAACATGAAAAGCATACAAAGTAATGGGATCGTATATGATTAAGATTTTTTAAATTTAAATTGGAATTTAAATATATGGGTGTACCATACTTCTTCTGCAGTGCCTATGAAAGTCAGAAGAGGGTGTCAGATCACCCTGGGATTAGAGTTACATAAGGTCGTGAACTGTCATCTGGGTTCTCTCTACTGAACTACTGAACCAAGAACTGAACTTGGGTTCT